AATCATATTCTTCATTGCAATCCATTCCTGGTATAAGAAAATGACTCTTTATAAAAGAAGTTAATAGTACTTGCAATCTAAATATTGGTTTGAATTTTAGTGACTGAGCCTAAAAACCTATTAATGAAGTCTGGTTAGTCAATTCCGATGAATCTGACCCAAAATTCTGGGGCCCTGCAAAAAACATTAAAATCTACGAAACATATCTACATATTTAGAAAGATCAACAAATTCTTTCGATTAAGTCTTTGACAATTTTATCTGCCTGATAAAAAATTCGATAAAAAAAAATGAAAATTACAAAATTTTAGCATTGAGGACTTTAAATTTACATTGGGTCACTAATTTTTGGAACAAAAAAAATTATTTTTACTACTGTTTGTTATTGCATCTTTGATTTTACAGATGTACATGCTCATTTATAAGTTTTTTTTAGTTTTTTACTAAACCATGAATAAGTCACGCAAACCAATCAATTCCAAGACTTTGTGTACAGAGACATTCATTTCTTGTACCTACCTTTTAAAGTATTGTTCGGAGTGCTATACAAGATCATGATGAAGGATAACCCAATCATATTAAGTAAACCATACTCTATGTATGTATTGTTACAGGTTTAATGAACTAGTTCAGAGATGGGGCAAATGCGACGAATTATCACTAGAAAAATGGTCATGCTACATCATGTTCCTCAAAGATAATAGAGGCGATTTGACAATTTGGCACAAGGTCAAGGCGATCGTTTAAGAAGCATTACAAGATAAGTACTTCAGTTTTTAAAGAATGTTATTGTATTGGCAGTTCAAAGAGTCTTTAATAACTTTATTAATATTTTATAAGGGCAGTACAAGTATATTGTTAGGGGTTATTCTGAATTATATTAAACTATACTGGACTTTTCTGAACTATATTGAACTATGCTGAACTATCCTTTTGAGAAAGAGAAATTCCACTCTTTTTATAATGAATGGAATGAGAAAAAAGCCTGTGCAAGACCATGACTCTTCTCATTATTACTAACACTTCCCAACCTTATTTGTTATAACCTTCAATCCCTTTTATATAGCCTTTCATTACTTTAATATTTCTCATAGCTTTGATAAGAAATGTTTTAGTTATATAATCCCAGGATCAAAACTCATCATATTGTCTTTAATCACACTCCCTTAACATCACCTTACACCTAATCCAAGTAAGGCAGATGAAGTCAACGTTCATTCCCAGTGCAACAGGTTGGTCCAGGTCAACCTTACTTTAATTGGAGAGGTAGTTGAGTCCTGCATAGAGGCTTGTGTACTTTCATATGGCATCTTTTGGGGCTGGACACACATGTTTCAGATGGATCACCATGGGCAACTCTAATTAGGTAAGTATGTCACAATAACATCCATTTCACAGGTTCCATGAAGTGTCAGTTTTACTTCTGACATTTCTTCTCACCTCAATTTTTCATGTCCTGTGAAAAAGGTTTACAGAGGTTGAGTTCGTAAGGCATTCCTTGTAATTCAGTTAGTGATTCAGAAGTTCAATTTACAGCCTACACAAAATAAGTTTTTTTTTTTTCAATACTAAAACTTTACTAATAAATCAATTATCAATTTCTAGACTAATCTCAAACAACTAACTGTGAGTCACATGACTCCAATTTGAAAAATGAAAAGAATTCAACACAACGAAAAAAAAATAATGCCCACATCCAAGATGAAGGGTAAGACCCTTGCAATATGCCCCAACTCATGTGTATGACTGTTGTACACAACTAAGAACTTATATACAGAAATAGAAAAGAGAAAATCAGACAAAACAAAAACATGTCTATGTTCAAAAACAAAGAGTATCCATACTCTTGTCATACACCCTAAACATATCCCTATATATGACTGTTGTGACCGACCATCTTAATACAGGCACAAGATATAGATTTTTTTTTTTTTATATATATTGTTATACTTATTTAACACTTTTTCGTAATATTTTTTCAATAGCTGCAAGTTGAAAGGCATCATTATTACCTTTCTATCCATTGTCCTCAATTTGTACATATCATTTATCAGTTTATCATAGATATAGAATGGTCTTTTATACTTTGGGGTAAATTTTTCACTTGTGAATACCTTTTTGCAGCATCTTCAAGCAAGAATTTATCCCCAATATCGAATTCAGGACTAATTTTATGATGCTTATCATGATAATCCTTTTGCCTCAATTGCTGTTGGCTAACCTGTTAGATGGTTTTTTCATAAAGGGCAGGTACAACATTTACAAGATTAAAGGTTTTTTGCAAGATGGTTCCTTTCAAGGTTTCTCCTTCTTGGCACAGATGAATAGGCAAACTTGCTTTACAACTATATACTAACAGAAAGGGTGACATTCAGGTGGCAAAATTTCAGGTGGTTCAATAGGTGAATAACACTAAAAGGATTAACAAATCTCAATCTACAATGATTTCAATAAGCTTGGTGATAGCTTTACATAGGGTCTTATTGAAGCATTCAACTAGGCTGTTGGTACAAAAATGGTATGACATAAAGAAACTTTGCTTAATCTTCAGTTTTTCTAGCAAATGCCTTATTAGCTTATTCCTGAAGTGTGTTCCATGATCTGACAAGATTCAATTTGAACATCTATAGTGACATACTATATTGTCGTAGATGAATTCTGCAATGGTTTAAGTATTTGCTTTCTGCATAGCATATGCTTCAGGCCAATGGGTCATGTAATCAGTAGAGACGATAATGTATCAATTTATTCTGGAGGTTTGTGGCAGGGGGCCAACAAAATCTATTCCGATTTTATGAAAGGGCACAGTTACTGGTAGTAGGTGTAGAGGACCTTGTTCATATGATCAGGTTCGACATTGACATTGGTCACATGTCTGAACATAATGGCATATATCAACATATATTTGGGGCCAAAAGTATGTATTACAGATCTTCTCAAACATAATGTCCTTGTTAAAATGTCCACCTAGCAGGTGCATATGTGTCAAGAACAAAATTGGTTCGACTTCATGTTGTTGCAGGACTCATAATAACCTTCCTTTATTCCTTCAGTTTTTTCAATACAAGAATCCATCCTTGAGGTCAAAGAAAATGCTCTTTTTCTTGATTCGTCATTGCTGGGCTTGGTCGACGGTTGGAGGTAGGTATTGCTTTTCTATGTATTGCTTCAATTGCTGATAGTGAATGGAATCCATATTTATAGTTTTTTTTTTGATTTTATTATTATTATTATTATTATTATTATTATTTATTTATTTATTATCTCTTCTTTTTTTTTGGTTTGTTTTTCAATTGTTTTTGCTTTTGCAATAGGGAGTCAGGACACTGGTAACCTGGTCTGGATTTCATTTTGCACAATTCTGGATTTTTTTTTTATTTATTTATTTATTTATTTTATATATATATATATATATTTTTTATTTACTTAGTCCTTACCTTTTACTAATTCTTTTTCTTTTCATTTTTATTAGCAGTATGATGGCACATTTCATTCGGGAGTTCTCTAATTTAGGATAATGCATCTGCATTATTATAGACATGTTCATGACAGTGAATGATTCTGAAATTGTAAGGTTGCAGCCTTAATACCCAACAAGTTCTCGATCACTTAAAGCAAAAGTTTGAAGCTACTTCAAGTCAAAATGATCAGTTACTACAATGAAAGGGTTCAACCTGACATAATGATGAAAGTGCTCAATCGCCCAAAGAACAGCAAGACATTCAAGTTCAGTAGTAGTGTAATTCATTTCAGCCTTGGTTAGGCTACAGGTTGCATATACAACTATGTATTCATTATCTTGATCATCTTTTTGTGCCAACACAGCACCTAAACTAAACCTAGAAGAGTCTGCATGAATTATGAATGCTTTATCAAAATTCAAGTAGTGTAAAATCAGTGCATCTATGAGGTGTTGCTTTTATTTTAAAGATGTAGTCTTGATCCTTTTTCTAATCGAATTTAATGTTCTTACATAATAACAGATGCAAGGGACATGCTATAACAGCGAATTTGGAGATAAACTTCTGATAATACAAAGCTAACTCTAAAAAACTTTGTAATTCATAAAGAGACTGTGGAATAAGAAAGTTATAAACTTTCTCTACTTTTTTTTTATCAAAGTAGATGCCCTCTCTACTGATGATGTGTTCTAAAAATTGCAGATAGGGTTTAAAGAAAAAGCACTTGTTTGGATTTAATTTTAACATTACATTCTTTAATTTATTAAAGACAGCAACAAGATGATTAGTATAGTCCTTGAATGTTGGCAAATATATAATAATGTCATCAAGGTACATGATGACGAATTGATCCAAAAATTTAGCCAACACTTCATTCATCATATGTTGAAATGTGGCAGGAGCATTTATTAGGCCAAATGGCATTACCACAAACTCATATATCCCAAAATTCGTAACGAACACAGTCTTTTCCCTGTCGGTATCCTTTACACGAACTTGCCAGTATCCAGATAGTAAATCCAACATTGAAAACCAAGCAGCTGATCCAAAAACTTCTAGAAGGTCATCAACATGAGGCAGGGGAAATGTTTTCTTTTTTGTAACTGTGTTAAGCTTCTAATAATCAATACAGAGGCGTAGTTTACTACCCTTTTTTGGCACAATGACTACAGGAGATGCCCACAAGCTGGTACTTTCTTTGACTAAATCTTTCACTTTCAACTTTTTGATTTCTTCTTTTATATGAAGCTATGTACACTAGAGGTAGCATGATAGGAAACTTGCTTAATTAGGAGGCACTTCTAGTGTTTATTTTATGAATATATGCTGACGTTTGTCCAAGATCATCTATGGTTTCAGTGAAAACATCCACTTCTTTACTCAATATGTTACTCACATAGTTCTTTTGATCGTCTGTTAGAGCTTCATCATTAAGATTCTTCTTTAATTTTTCGATTATGCTTTCTTCTTCTTTCTTAGTTTCTTTACTAGGACACTTTCAGCACTAGACAGATATATAGCAGGACTTTCATGATCGAGCTACAGATTATTGTACAGCTCCAACTTGCTACATTGGTTGGTCAAAAACTCTTCTGTTTCATTTAAATCTTCATTGTCGAATTCGAAATCATCGAATGGGTCTTTATTATCTGACTTTTTTGGTTTTTCAGGCTTCTTTTTTATTGCTGGAGGAGCTGGTGGGATTTCTCCTTCATAAAACATAAGTATTTTCACAAATTTACTCTGGCATTGCATATACAGCTTTCTTTCATCAGCATGCAAATAAGCACCAGTTTGGTGGAACTAATCTATTCCTAACAGGAGGGTCTGTTCGATTAATTCTATAATCTGAAAAGTGGTTAAGACCACTATACTGTTCATGACCAACTTAAGGTTGATTATTTTTCTGAGAGCCCTTATCCTGGCTCTATTTGCAATGACGACTATTGTTGTAGAAGGTTCATCGATCTTCAACTGCAGTTTTTCTGACATTTTATTCAACATTATACTGATGGTAGCACCTAAATTGAGCACAGCCACTACAGGGTTTCCTTTAATCCTAATGTGGCAACGAGTGGCAGTGGTTCTTGTAATTGTGGGGGCTTGTACAGTCATTACTTCCATATCGATTAGTTCGAGGTTCTGGGTTGTTACAGGTACTAAGGGCCTTTTTATCACATTCACTAGGTTGCATTTTGATCAGGATATTGCAGCATTTGATCTACTGACACATTGTTTTCATATTTAACAAATCCTGCACAATATTATACAGTTTCAGGTTATCAACCACTGAAGGTCCTCTTTTCCTACAGGGTACTTGTGGGAAATCTACTAGTATAGGTGCTGCTAGGGCAGGCATTACTGGAGTAGACATTATTGAGATAGTTGTTACTAATAAGTTTTCACTTGATAGGGCCATGGTAGGCATGATTTCAGGGGCCTGGGTGGGATGAGATCCTTCATTGGTTGGCATGGGCACTATTTTCCTATAGTGGCTGGGTCTTTGGGTAATATACAGTTAATGACGAACAGCAGGTGCAGTAAAGGCTTCATTTTCATTAACATTTTTATCTGGTTTATTGAGTATACTTATGTGATTGACATCTCTTGGACAGGGGAGGATCTGGGTTGGTGTTGTAGCATGATTCACATGAACTTGAGGCTGGGCTTGAGGTGCTATTCGATTTTGCATTTGGGGCTGATTTTGGTTTTGAGTTCTTTCTAACATACAATTGTGCAAGATATGTCCAGATTCTCTACAATTGTAATAAGTCAAATGGGTATTGTTATTGCTGTGATTACTATGATTACTGTGGTTGTCATAATTATTGTTGGTTCAGAGTCTTGCTTCGAAATATGTAGCTAATGCAGTTGTCAACTTTTCATATCCAGTAGTTAGTACTTGCATTTGTTGGTTTAATCAGGTGACTTCACTATCATATGCTTTGTCTCTTCCACCTTTCTTATTATAGTATTCTCTAGCTTTGATTTTACAGACACCTTGTATTGCAGCATCCAAACTATCAGGGCTGCAATACCTAACTATGCAGCAATCTTGGCTTTAAGGCCACCTAGAAACATTCGTATAATATACGATCTAGGAAGCTGGTTCCTGGGGTTTACTTTTCACAATAATTTCTTAAACTTGTATGCATACAAATTCACTCGCTTAGACAGCTGCTGTTTTAGTTTATTTAGGTCAACCTGCCACTTGTGCCATTTTTCAGGAGTCATAAAATACTGGTCAAACAATTGAACAAAACTTTTATCTGAACAGGTTTCCCTATCCCAATATACTAAATTATTCTTTACTCCATTATACCAACTTGTAGCAATTCCACATAAGTAACCAGAGGCTATTTTTATTTTGCATTTAGGAGACCAATTATTGGTGTCAGCTGCATGATCGAAGACTTCTATTCACTCAAGAAGGTCTTCTTCTTCATCTTCATGAAAAGTGTTCACACAGACTAGATTTGTTTCATGAACAGGAGGTCTGGTAGTAACAGCAACTTCTACAGTTACTTCTTTAAACCCAGCAGCAATTTCTTGCAAAATTAATTTCAGAATGTCTGGTTCTTGTGCTTGGACTTGTCTTCTATCATTGGCTTGATTGCTTCTATTTGGCAAAGAGCTATTCACAGGCATATGGTAACTTCCAGAGAGACAGTTGTTGTTAAAAGTCAATAAATTGTCATCTTCAAAAACATTAGAGAAAATCCTATGATCATTAGATTGCTGAGAGTTCATAATTCTAGTATGTTCTTATACAAAAAAATTTTACTACTTTTTTTTTTTTTTTTTTTCTGGATTTTTCTTGTTAAGGTAAAAAGGTAGTTAATAATCAGATTTTTTATCCTTATTTATATTAGAGTTGGTGTGGGATCTATGATGAGGCACTCTAATAATAAGGTAATTATGATTGCTATTATTGTAAATCTCTTATTTGTTTGTTAAGTATTATTAATCGATTGGAATATTTTTTTTTGTATATAATAATAAAAGAATTTTTTTTTTGTTTGTCAGTGACTTGTATGAGGGCTTCTGTTTAGGAAAGTATCGACTTCTGGTTCTCTTCTTTTTTTTTTTTTTATTATTACACTAATATTTTTTTTTTTTAACTTGACCGAAATTTCTTGCAATTATCTTAACAATGAAGTATCTTGCACAGTTTGTCGAATAGGGTTTTCTTCTTTTCACGATTGATTATAACAGTTTTATAAATCTGGGCACATTTCTTCTACATTCACAGGTTTTCATCCTTACTTTAATCTTCCTACAAGGAACTCAAATATAGTCAACTTGAACTGGGAGGTTGGTACAGCATTAGGTCAGTAGAATTTTAGGTACAGTATTTTTTTTTTTTTTTTTTTTTTTTTGTTTCTCAAATGTTGGCTAATAAATTTTTGGTTGTTACGATCTCACAGTCACCACTAATTATTGTTACAGGTTTAATGGACAAGTTCAGAAATGGAGCAAATGTGATGAATTATTGCTATAAAAACTTTATGTTATGTAACATTTCTTAAAGATAATAGAGGCAGTTTGACGATTTGGCACAAGGTTAAGGTGATTATTTAAGAAGCATTACAAGATAAGTACTTTAGTTTTTAAAGAGGTTATTGTATTGGCAGTTTAAAGGGACTTTAATAACTTTATTAATATTTTATAGAGGCAGTACAAGTATATTGTTAGGGGTTATTCTGAATTATATTAAACTATACTGGACTTCTCTAAACTATATTGAACTATGTTGAACTGTTCTTTTAAAAAGAGGAAATTCTAACCTTTTTATAATGAATGAAATGAGAGAAAAGCCTGTGCAAGACCACGACTCTCTCATTATTACTAATACTTTCCAACCTTATTTGTTATAACCTTTAACTCCTTCCATACAGCTTTTCATTACTTTAACATTTCTCATGGCTTCAATGAGAAATGTTTTAGTTATATAATTTCAGGACCAGAACCCATTATATTGTCTTTAATCACACCCTCTTGACATCACCTTACACCTAACCCAAGTAAGGCAAATGAAGTTAATGTCCATTCTTAGTGCAACAGATTGGTCCAGGTCAACCTTACTTTAATTGAAGGGGTAGTTGGGTCCCGCATGGAGGCTTGTGTACTTTTATATAGCATCTTTTGAGACTGGGCACATATGTTTCAGATGGATCATCATGGGCAACTCTAATTAGGTAAGTATGCTACAATGATGTCCATTTCACAAGTTCCATTAGGTGTCAGTTTTACCTCTAACAGTATGTTTCTAGTAAATTTGATGAACAAGTCATGTAGACCAATCAAACTTAAGATTTTGTAAACATAAACCACTTATCAGACAAATATAGAAATTATGAGATAAAGTCACAAGGATTGAATATCCAATCAGATCTGAGATTTTGTATAGGGCATTTAACTCTCAGGTAAACCATACACTACATTGTATGTTGTACAAACTCCATTCCTGGTAAATTAGAATTAAAAGCATATGAGTATGTGAAAGTAAAAACCTGGAAACTGATTTAATAATTTACTATGATCAGTTTCTAGGTTTTTACTCTCATCACTCATATGTTAAAATTTATAAGTGATAGAAATTTTTTTTAATTTGTTGATCATAATTAATAAAATCTAATGCATATTTCTTACTTGTTAGTATAAAACTAGATTTTAAATATTAAAAACAAAAAAAAATAAATTGATTATATATAATACTTTACTAATTAAAGAACTTTTTAGTAAACATTTTATTAAAAAATCAATTTAAATCATATTTAATTATATAATAAAAAGTAAATTTATTAAAAGTTAAAGTATTATTTACTGTATAATAGAATATAAAAAAATATATTGTACTGTTTAATTTATAAAGTTTAATATTAGTTGTTTTTTTTTATTTATTATTATTTAAATAATTATTTATTTTATTATAGTTTTATAGATTGGTTTTAAAAATTGCATATTTTCTTAATAGACCAACTATATAAATCTTTTTTTGCTAATTAGTTTTATTAATAATAATTAGTTAAAACCAACTTGTATTGTTTGTTTAGCAGACTAATAATTATTTATTCTTAATTAGTTTTAATTATATTACATCTTTTGTTTATATTCTTTTTTATTTGTTTTTTCTAGACTTATTTTTATTTTTTATTTTTCTTTTCTTTAAATATTCTTTGTTAACTTTTTATATTATTTATTGAGGCTTTTGACTACTGCCTATACAGCTTTAATAGTATTACTTTTATCTCTTTTTTTATGCTTTTAAGTTTATTATTCTTTTAATTATTTTTTTTTTTTTTACTTTTTAGTTCTTTTTTGTTTTTTTTCTTTTAATTATTTGTTACAACTCAATAATATATTTGTACTACTATAAATTTTTTTGGCCTTGTTTTTTTTGTCTTTGTATTAAATATTTTTTTTAAAATTTGTTTGTTTATTGTTTTGATTATGGTTTCTTTTATTATATTCTATATAAAGTTTAGCATATTTGTACTACATTTCATATTATTTTATTATCTTCTAATTATTTTATTTCTCTTTTTTACTTTAATTAATCTTGCAGCTTCCTTATATATTTTTTCTAGTTTTTTAATTTACTTCTTTATAGAAAGGTATATTGTTTTTATTTAATCTTTATGTTTGATTTTTGCATTATTATAGTTTGCAATTATGTGATTTTTTTATTTTTATCTTGAAGTTATTGTCTATTAGACCTTTTGCTTCTTCTATATATGTTTTTTAAAAATCTAATACAAGTATTTCTAATAGCCAAATATTTGTTGTAGCTTTATAACTTTACTATATATATTTTTTTTTTATTAAATATAAACTGCTATATAAGTTTATAAAATTTTGTTTTTTAAACCTATTAAATATCAGCAATTTTGTTTGTTTAGTATATTATTTATTGTTTAATTTAAATCTTCTAATATAATTATTTTTGTATATCTCTTTCTGCTTATTATTATTTTTACAATATTTACTAGATTTTTTTCTAATTAGTTTGTGATTTAGTAAAATATACACTCTTATTACTATTAATTCTAATTGTTTAAAATACAATCACATTTTTATTATATATTTATTAATTTTTTTAAATACTTCAACTTGTTTTTTGCATTTCTTATCTATTAGTATTTTAATATTTAATTTTTTTTCTTGTCTGATATTGCACTAGTCTAGTAGCTTTAGTTTTTTGTTTTTTTGTTAAGATAACTTTTTTGGTTTTTTAACTTTTATTAATAACTTTTTTGATAATATGATTCTATAAACTACTACAAAAAGAGTATACAATTGACTACATATATAACTTTTTATATTACCTATTTAAGAAGTTTATTCAAAGATTCTTTACTAATTGCTATATCTGATATTCCAACTTAGATATTTTATTTTAAATTCTTTAAATCTGTATCTATGTTAATATTACTAAATTAGTTCAAATTATTATCTTAATCTTAGAAGTATTTTATTCTTAAGATAAACTTTTTAAAGCCTTTTGTACTTATTTTTATAGCTAACTTAGTATCACAATAGCAGATCCAATACTTGTGATTAGAGCTAACTATTAAACTACTATGCTTTTATAAAGTTTACTCAGATCTTAACATCTACTTTATAGCATATTTGAATTACTTTAATATACCTTTATCTGTTTTTTAAATTTTCAATTCAGATAGTCCAATAGAATTACAATTAGTTTATTAGTATATCAGATTGGCCTGATATCCTTTTTCTTTAGTTTATTTTAGTGGCTTGGTTAATGTATTTCTAAAACTCTTAACTCAAAAATTCTTACTTATTTAGATACTTTTATATTAGTATTTATTTTCTAAGACTAGCCTTTATAGTAGTATTATTAAAAATCTGTATTATTTTTTTTTTTAGATTTTCTCAAATAGACTTCTTGTTTCTCAATTTTAATAAATTAATATAACTACAAAAACTTATTTAGAGTTTGCATTCCTTTGTATAATATTATACTTATATAAATGTCTTATGACCTGCCAGTTATACTAGTGTAACTACTATTATAGGCATCTTAATCTAATTATTAAAAACAGTTATTATCTCTTAAACTGTATTTTAGGCAAATGTATTTAAAAAATTAAGGGTAGAATACAATATTTAAAAATTTAATATGAAATCGGTTGCAAATTTTTTCATGTTACATATATAGAAATAGAATGACCATATTTAAATCTAGAATCTTCTATATGCATGAATCTAGTTAACAGATGGAAACGTTTAATGTTCATGTATTTTCACATGATAATTGGCCAATCAAATCATAAGGATTAAAAGAAGTAAAAAAAAACAAAATTAATGCTAGAAACGAATTTATTACATATTTTGCCACCAAGCAAGCAAATGTATATTTATTTCGGTTATTAATTAAATAATAAACAAACTTCAAATTATTATGATATATAAAAAAACAATAATCAATGTCTAATTCTATATCGAATATAATCCAAAACCCGATGTATATGCACATATTATATAGATTCTATAGTCTTTAATATTCGACATTATATGATCTCTAATACTCAACACTTATGCTATTGTAATAGTTTTATACGTATGTGTTCTTATTTCTATTTTAAGAAATGTACAAAAAAAAAGTATGCAATTAGTTCTTATTTTATTAATTAATATGAACATAGATTTGCTTTGAACTTTTAAAAGACTTATTTATAAAGTTTTAAATAAAAGATTGTGCAAACCAACAGTCTAACGCACATTACCCTTATTGAATCGTTGCTTTCAACTTTTCTTTGATTTTTATTACCCAAATGTTCAAAATTTATAGTTTGGTATTTTGTAATTACTTCTACATATACTTTGTAAAGAAATTTGTCCTATAAAGGTTGTAGAATTTAAAAGGATTCAACCGATATTGTTAAAATACACGAAAACTTCAAGTTCACTTAGTAAACTTGCTCATATTTTATAGAGACAAAGGCTTACACAAGCCTTGTGAAAAAGTACTTAGGTTATGATTATCATGAATTGTGTTACATGGTTCTATTTTTAGATACACTTATAATTACACATAAGTATCATATTGTTAGTAAAATTTTTCGATGCAAAGAGCGCATATTTTCATGTTCGCCTAGCCTTTATAACCTTTCAAGTATAAAAAGGCAAGATTTTTGAATTTATTATTATTGTTGATTTATAGTGATTTTTAACAAATTTTCTTAATTTTCTTGTAAAATGCAAAATCAAATTTACAATTTCTTGGAAACTGCTGGAGAATGTCAGATAAACGCTACGTCAGTTATTTATCTTGGGCTAAAAGAAAATCGTTGGATTCCAAAAGATGAACTAAGAACAATTATAGATAAAGCTGTAATTTTTAGGCAAAATAAATATGCGAAAAGCATATCTCGTTATTTAAGAATTTCAAAAATTTCTTCATAGGTTAGTTAAAGCTTAATACAGATATTTCAAAATTTTTATATGATGATATTGTGTGATCCGTTTTAGAGCAGTGCTAAATAAACAGACTATATTATTTTAGTTTGTTGTTTATATTTTTTCACCCATCAAATCGGCCCCCAATAATACTTGCATATAATACGAGAGTGTATATACTATAGACTATTATGCGGTATTGTAGTTCACTCTACTAACCTATTATATGAAAAGGTTATTGCACAGTCAGGGTGAGTTAAGGTATAAATTATTATGTTGAAAATTAGTATCACACAAGGTTTCATCAGCATGATGGCCACACAAAGATGTTAACTTTGCATATGCACTGATAATATATGTTAGTTTTAATGATGAAAATTTTTATATTTTGAAATCTAACATATAGCAATTTTTTTTTTTAGTTTGATAGTGCTTTCGAAGGCGTATGTTCCTTATTTGATATGGGAGCAATTAAAACAGATAAGGAATGACCACTTAGTTCAGAACGGATTAAAAACAATATTGAGAAGTTGAAAAGGAAACTCAGAAAAAATACCACTAGTCTTTATCAACATTTACTCTTGAAGGTAAATGAAACTTCTGTTTAAAAATTAACTTGGGAAAATCCTTTGGCTAGTCAAATTATTAGAGATAATGCTCCAATTATAGATGATTTATGTCAAAACCAAAAAACAAGAGGCCTACACAAAGCATTTATGGTATATACTTATTATTAAGCAAAATAATTCCTATAAATTATTTCTAATATTTCTTGCTATGGTCTTTATTTTAGAAACTGGTCAGACAAATGAAGCCTACACTTCCGTTAAGTGTTAAAAATATGTGTAAAGAATTTGTAACAAGTTTTTCTAATCATAATTATAGTGGATTTTCAGATAAGTTTATTTATAATAAGACATGGAAAGAATCTGAAGAGGAAATTTTATTAGTCGTAAATGACATTTTTAGTACTATAGAAGACGTGTGGAACAATCCAGCTCTTAACTCTAAAACGGCTGAAGCATTAAATGAGGAAACTTACCAGTCTACTGTTATTGTACCATTTATTCGAGCTGCACTAAAAAATCTTCCCTTTAGATCATCTTCATTTATTAGCATATCGGAAAGAGAAAGTCTTGCTAGTGCGAATAGAAAAGGAGATGGTCAAGCGGGAAGACATCCAGATATAATGTTTATTGTGAAACATTTGGATGTGCTCTTCAAAATTATGTATGTCGAATACTCGAGGTTGGTTTGTACATCTCAAAAAAAGGATGATGATGATATTAAGTTATGGAGAGAGTGTAATGATGGTATGTATTATACACGAAAGTTTCTTAATCCAGAAAAAGACCAATTTGGAATCGTTAGGATACAAATAGCAAGAGATACTTTACATCTGAATGTTCTTATCAGGGATATGATGAATATTTATAAATATTATAATATAGAATTGGTAACAATCCCTGTGCAAAAGTCAAATAAGACCATTGTAATTAAATTTGTAGAAGCTCTTCTCTTTTTACATAACATGATAATTACAAATAAGTCTTTACTATATCATGGATCAGTGTGTATATCTGAAAGGCAAAAGGAAGGCAGTACGACTATAGATTCTGAATAATATTCATTCTTTCCTGTATTTTATTCTTATCAATAAAAAAATTAAAACCTGACAGTCTGATTTCGTACAAATGATGCATTTTCGGAATTTATTGCCATTGATGTTACGTATATATAATCATAAATTTCGAAGTCTTGTATGAAAACTAATTTGCATTATAGTGCTATTTTTTTTATTACTATAGAGACTAATCTAGAAAAACTAATTTTTTAGAAAACTGGTAAATAATTGAAAGCCCGTCAATGCACTTAAAAAACAAACTAAACACAAAAAATAATTGAAAGTTTTCTCTGTGCAGTGTTCATATATTTGTAAATTTTTGGTTATTTTATTTTAAATTTAATAAACCATTATTCAGATTTTGAACTTTCTAGTTTCTATAATATACAATTAATATAAACATCATAACTTGCAATAGTGTAAAAAACAAATTGATCTTTATTTTTTTGTTCAATATAACTAAGTTTTTGTTAGTACAAGCAAATCTGCCTTCTCTATTACTCCTTCTATTACTATACTGCATGTTAGATAAGCCGTGCTAGTCTTTCTTTCTAGCAAAATAGTTTGTTTAACAAAATTATGACAAACCAGATCTGCTAATGCTAATTCTACTAGTGTTTTAGTACATAATATTGTCGGTTTTTTTCGATCAATCAAGTCTAATAAGGTTAATTTTCTACTTCGAAGTCGTGCATTATTTAAACAACAAAAAACTTCGACTACATCTAAAGGAATAATTGCCTTATTATTGTTTTCACATAATATCTTAACAACATTTAGCAGGTCTAAAATATCCGTTAGCGCATTATTTTGTTTTACATTATCCTTTGCGTGTCTAATACAATTATTACATGAACTGCAAGTTGGTGGAACCAGGTCACTTGGCCATGCGTGGTATTGTGATACTAGCTGGAATCGGCATTCATAGGAGGTAAGACAGTAGTACATTACCTCAAATAACTTATGTCATGCTTTGGCTAGATAAACTTCTCTAGTTGCTGTTTGTTCATCATAATCTTCATTACTACAATTAGAGCATGATTAATAAATAAAATTATTCAAAAAATTCTCAATGCAGCGATATAACAAATTAACTATCTCTATTATTCGCAATAACGAAATAATTAGTACGAATATCCTTTCCAGAATAAAGAATTACATATCTGAAATTTCGCTTATCCCATCCAGCCCTACCTGATTCCTGAATTAGACAAGCTATTTATGAAGATATTGAGTATTATTGTTTTTTAATAAAATTTTACTTATCAAATATACTTACTCATATCCATCAGAAAATTATAATGCAATACTAGATGAACATCAGGCATATCTATACCCATCCCAAAGGCTGATGTTGTAATCATCAAACATGTTTGACCTGTATTCCATCTTTTTATCATATCATTCTTTTCACTATCTGGCAATTGACTGTTATATACATCTATTATTTTTTCTATCTTTTGATCTAGCACCTCAAATACTTCAAGACAGTCCTTGACTCGAGCGCAATAGATTATCGTATGACCAGTTTCTTCTACACTCTCAATCAAACTCACTATTTGGTCTACCCAGGCAGCCTTATTGTCTTTTTGACTTTGAACTGAGAAACATAGCTCTGGACATGATAAATCATTTTCTCTTACAACTCTAAAGTTGTTTTCATCAATATTTAAATCATTCCGAAGAGCTATTGCATCATCATAAGATAAAGTTGCAGTAAGAGCCATGATCCGAATATTGGGAAAATATCATTTCAATCTTCCTAAATTTCCCCATTCATTTCTATAGAAAAAGATTTTTAACAGACAATTTATTAATAATAATTTTAACCGTTTATTCATATTTATCTTTTTCTTATCTAAAGTGACAAAAATCAAAAACACAATGGGCTTCATCAATTACAATTTGCAGTTTTTTGTCATTATGTAGGTGATTACATAATTTCATGAGTGACTGTTTAAGTAATAGCTTCTCAGAAGTAACATAAAGTAAACAGATGAATCCAAGAGCTATTTCTTCAAAAATCTTCATTTCGTACTCGATTGTCCCTTGAGAAGATGCTAGCAAGTAACCACACGGAATTCCTAGTTTGATTAAATCATTCTAAATGAAAATTTGATTAGATATATAATTGTTATTTATTGAATTTTTAATTAGGTTTATATATACTACTTGGCTTTGAATCAAAGATTTCAACAGTGAAATAACTATTGTTAAGCCATCAAAAAGAATAGCGGAAGCCGCATAGCAAAAAGATTTTCTGCCATCAGTCTTCATAATTATAAGCATATCTTTTTCATCTTCTATAAAATATTTTATTGCATCTACTTGTTCTGGTTTTGGAAATTTAAATTTAAAAATGTTTTCTGCAATTATTTTAACACACTGAGCTAAACCTTGAGGTTGGTTTATCACACTTTGTTGCATTTCATTTTCTATTTTATCTACTAATTTTTTATTTTCTATTGCATCTTGTTGCATTTCGTTTTCTATTTTATCATCTTGTAACATTTCAACATCTATTTCGTTACACAACATTTTATTATCTATTTCATCTTGTAACATTCTGTTGCTCATTTTATTTCGTATTTCATCTTGTAACATTTTGTTGCCCATTTCATTTCGTATTTCATTCAAAACTAAAAATCTCTTATTCCAACCAAATAATTGATATGTATAGCACAAAGCGCATATACCCTTAAAGCATTTTTAAAAATGTGACATCTAATACATCTTACAGTTACATCGAAGTCCACAATCAATGGAGCAAAGAATGGATAAAACTCATTATTAAGTAGCCGTTCTCACACTTTCTCTTTATATGGTACTAGTTCCTGTATATTAAATTAATACTGATAAGTAATTATTAGATGTTTAGAACTATATAGTGTTAAGCTATTAAATACCTTGTCGAAATCGAATCCCGCCAATTCCTTACGTTCATTGGCATATTTATCAGACCTAGCTTGGTTACGCTCACGAATTTTTTCTACATTCAATCCTTGTTGGGCAGAACGACTGCTTTCTATTATGCTAATATTATATATATCTTCTGATTCAAAAGGTTTTCCACAGTATATTTCTCGGATTTCAGAAAGTAATTGAGTATACTCTTCGTTATAATGTAAAACTGCCAATGCATGCCTGGAAGCATATAACTTCCAGTAGTCAATTTTTTTTATCTAGATATACTAATTTGACTCTATTGAATGTCTCATTTTGAAACATTCTATTTAGTGTTACAATCCCCTGACCTTTAGGCAAGCGAAAATTCGACTCAAGAAATTTCTTGAATGCATCAATCCAGCTTTTAGACGAATGACAAAGAGTAGGCTCTTGCAAAATTATTGTTGGGTCATCTTTGATCTAATATACATTTGACCAACAGTGTGAATGATTATTTTGCAGGTGATTAATAAGACCATCTACCTGCATTGTACGTGTTTTATTTTCCGATGGAGCATTTTGATTTTTGGCTTTTCGCACTGCTGCGGAAAAAATGCATCCATAGTACCAACGCATTATATGGTCTTCAAAGACTTGAAACTGCATGTCTTTGTCACCTGATAACAATAATAATTTAGATATATTTATTATTGATACTTTCGCAAAAAATGTTTTTTTCCTACACTTATGATGTAAAGCATTTCTAATATTTTTGGTTAAATGTTTTAGATCAGCAAAAATATTTTTGACAATAGAAACTTTTGCAAGCGTCGTATTCGTATCTAGGTCACCATCTACGCATACTTCTAAGTGCAAACCTGCATCTTCTAATGGTTGGCTAATTTGATTT